GGCACGTTTAATTTGTAAGTAAAGCAAGCCGTCGTGCCAGACCTTATCAATGCCTTTGCGACATCGAAGAAGAGGGCTCTCATATTTCAAGACTACTTATTTGTCGGGTGGTGATTAAAGCCAGACAGAATATATTGTTAGGTGATGAATTTGATGAGTGCATTATTGTTCGGCTGTAAAGCCAAATACTCATCGGGGAGAAGTTTGTAAGTTACAGTGAAGTGGCGTAGGCGCTTTTGAATGATGCACTCGTATAATTTACCCAATGTGTTGAGTAGACTGATGGGGCTGTATGGGCTGGTGGGTCAATTGCGCGGTTGCCCCGATTTTAGAATTCCTATTACGTCTGCTTCTTTCCTGATATCCGGGAAAGAGCAAATCATAAGAAGGGCGTTGAAGATTCCTACGAGGAGCTAAGTTAGTGGTGCCGCAAGATATTTGATCACCTTGTTGCTAATGCCGTCTGGCCTAGGGGCTGATCTATTCTTAAGGCTTTTTATGGTTTCTGTGACTTCATCTACAGTCACAGGATCGAATGGTTCATCCGCTGGTGGTAACGCAGTTCTACGTTCGACTTTCACTTCTACCTCTAGTAGGTGAGCGGGATCTGTTGGTATACTGAATGGGGTGCACTGGCTCTCTAAACTGTCGGCTAGGCTTTCGGCTTTTCGAGATCGGGTTGGTCTAGCCTCACGAGGCGGCATGGGAGGTGATTGCTCAGTTTTTAGAGCTCTAGTCAGCTTCCAGAAAGCGTTTTGAGATGGGTATATTCCTTATAAGAGGTTTTCCCATTTATCGTTTCTAAATTCGGCAATGCATTATTTAACCTTGTTTTGTATAGAATGTAGCTAAATTTTGTTATCTTCCATGCGATAACGGTCATAAGATTTTAGCGCGGTGTTCTTTGCTCTAATCAGTTGTCGAATATCTGCCGGAAGCTTTGTGTATCGATCACTCGACACTCGAACCTTACGGGAGCATTCTTCGACCGATGCAGTGAGATGAGTCGATAGGACGCTAATCGTCCCATTGGCTTACTTCGGCGAGTCTATCTTGTTAGGTATGGTGTCTAAATGCTGGGAGTTCGTAGACTCGAGTTTGACTTCTAGTTTACGCCAGTCCACGATGTTTTTGGTCTGAGGGACCTCATCTGCAGACTTGCCCAGTTGTAATACGACCGGCCTGTGGTCGGAGGTTAGTTCGATGTAAGTATCGATCGAGATAATAATAAGCCAGATATCTTTTAGTAACACTGCATCAAAGATGTCCGGAGGTTGGTATATAGAAAAGGAATAGCGAGTTGGACACTCAGGAGCGATAACGTCGAATTTGACTCTATCCGTGAGGTCGCATAAAACGTTTCGATTATTAAAGTTAGAATTCCAACTAATGTGTTTACTGTTTAGGTCTCCCGCGATTTATAAGCTGAGGCCTAGATCTAGTAGAGCCGAGAAGTCGGCTTTTATTATATGTTCAGGTTTCAGCAGTAGCTGATATGCTGATGCAATTATGATGGCCGGAAGGCCAGTAAGTGCTATCCTACAAACCGATGCTTCTAAGTTAGCAAGCGGGGTATCTATCGGTACACAGTGCAAGGACCTTTTACAGCAGATCAAGGTGCCTTTAGGTCCGGTCTGCCTATCATTTCTTACTAAGGTATAATTCGCTATTTTGGGATCGCTCACTAGGTTTTAAGAAAGTATCTTGCACTAGCATGATGTCGACATCATGGTCGCGTAAAAATTACACGATTTCTTCCTTTTGATCTCATACCGTTTACGTTAAAGAACGAGACAGTCAGAGAGTTAGTTTTGGTTCTACCTGTATTTTGTATTGCCATTCTGATTTATAAAACGTCGGCTTAGACGCATTGGAAAGAGCCGATTGCGTCGATAAGATTAATTTGCTCAATGGTGGCATTGGGCTTATCTTAGGTGGTCTTGGCCTCTAGAAGTTTGCGGGTCAGAGAAGCGACTTGCTGATGAAGCTGCAGACTAACGAAAAGTCAGCAGCGAAGGTTGAAGATGCTTCTGCGCCTGGAGAGAGGGCGCTGGCCATGAGGCGGCCACGCTTACTTTCGCCGGGGCTTGTGGCGTAACTCGCTTCTGAAGCTTATGAAGATTGAGCCACGCTCGAACATCACGCCACCGCAGCAAAACAATGGCGCGACCTCGATCGGCAACGCACCGCGCCTTCGTCAGCGCGCGAGCCCGACCGCCGTGCATTCCGCCTGCAGCTAGCACAGGAACAAGACGCGCGCGCTACTCACCTCAGTTAACTTATCTTGTACGCGAAGTTAATTTCACTCTTGTAAAATTATTGCCAGTAAAAGTTATTTTTACATCGAATCATATTACTTCATTCGGAGTCACATAATTCTTTATCCTATCCTATATTGGTATTCTGTTATTTAAAATATATACGTACAAGTACTTGAATACTACGATTGGGTTTGGTAGCAAGGTATTAACATATACAACTCTCGCCGAACCACCATACTGGTGACCCCGACGTGAATTGAACACGCAACCTTCTGATTTATAAAACGTTGGCTTAGGCGCATTGGAAAGAGCCAATTGCGTCGATAAGATTAATTCAAAAGAGCAAAATTACCCGTCATACCATATCCCCGATTTCATCTTTCTTAACTCCCTCGTCGAGGTTTTCCCATATCCACCTCGACATCGTAGGGCCCTTAATTCTGTCTTCTGGTTACAGATATTGCCTTACCGTCATCGACCGTTTCACGCGATGGCCTGAGGCATACCCCATGGTGGCCGTCACGGCGGAGATCTGTGCAGCTACTCTGGTGTCCAGCTGGATAGCCTGATTCGGCTGTCCTGCACTGGTGACTACAGATCGTGGTCGCCAATTCGAGAGTCATCTCTTCAAAGCTCTCACAAAGTTGGTTCTCAGCTCTCAGCTGCGAATGGTATCATCGAACGACTTCATCGCCAACTCAAGGCGGCGATTATGTGCCACACATCATCACAGTGGACGGAAGCCCTTCCACTGGTTCTCTTGGGCATGCGCAACTCATGGAAAGAGGATCTCCAAGCTACTCCTGCTGAATTGGTATATGGTCAAACCCTCAGCTTACCAGGCCAATACCTATCTCCAATAGACGACTACACCACGGCAGACGTCATAGAGTTCGTAACACGTCTACGATCCTGCATGGCTAAACTCACTCCCAAGCAGACATCATGGCACACCAGCACGACAACGCCATTCTACATACCACGGGACCTCCACACATCCTCTCATGTTTTTCTTCGCTGAGATCACGTTCGAAGCTCACTCGAACCACTCTACGACGGACCCTTCAAAGTACTAGACAGACAAGCCAAGTACTACACTATAGACATAAGGGGAAAGGAAAATAACGTCTATGTTGACAGACTAAAACCAGCGTATATGGCCAAAGAAATCAAAGACCCGGAACCCAAAGTCCCTACGGAACCTATTGCCAACAAGGAGAAAATCACGCAGAGTGGCCGAAGAGTGAGATTTCCCGACTACTATCGACCGTAGTTACGGTCTGGCCAGGGGGTATATGTGGCGTAACTCGCTTCTGTTGGACCCCACATAAATCCGCTATGCTTATGAAGATTGAGTCACGCTCGAACATCACGCCACCGGAGCAAAACAATGGCGCGACCTCGATCGGCAACGCACCACGCCTTCGTCAGCGCGCGAGCCCGACCGCCGTTCATTCCGCCTGCAGCTAGCACAGGAACAAGACGTGCGCGCTACTCACCTCAGTTAACTTGTCTTAATCTTGTACGCGAAGTTAATTTCACTCTTGTAAAATTATTACCAGTAAAAGTTTACGTGGTAGAGCCATGCTGCGACTATATTATGGTTGTAGCACGAATGGGTCGGCTCGACCGGGGAAGGACCACGCTCTCACAGAATACCAGCGTAAAATAGCAGCTTAACGCTGCTGTGTTTCGTTTGGTGAGTGTAGAGAACCGGAGACCCTTTTTACTGGAAACGAGGCATTCCATCTTAATCCTCACGGGTGACGACGCATCTGCATTTTGATTCTTAATCGAAGATGGATGTAGATGTCTATGGGCCACAGCAACCGCTTACCATCAGGTGGACTGTGTGCTCGTTTGTCAACCTTATCCTATAAAAAAATATTTTTACATCGAATAATATTACTTCATTCGGAGTCACATAATTCTTTATCCTATTCTATATTAGTATTCTGTTATTTAAAATATAAACGTACGAGTACTTGAATACTGCGATCGGGTTTGGTGGCAAGGTATTAACATATACAACTCTCGCCGAACCACCATACTGGTGACCCATAGGCTAGACCCAGCGTTTGTTTTAGGTGCTGAAGGCACCGGAGTGCTAAGCTTTGCCCGGAAGTCCCTTTAACGGAGGCTGGTTTGACGATAGCCTGAGAGGGCGCGAGTTGGGACACCGAGATCGGTGCGAATGAAGGGGCAGGTTGCCTAGGACTGGACTTGCTAGCGCTAGCCACTCATCTACGCCGGTCTACACCTCCGCGCCTTTTATTGCGCGGCGAAGTGGGAAGGAAGAAGGTCTACCGACACGGGCGTTCGAGTGCACTTGGATGTGCCGTGATCGCCTAGACACTTAACGCATTTAGGCAGAGCGAAACAGTTTTTAGCCGAATGGCCGTAAAATTGGCATCGGTGGCATTGGCCAACTCCTTGAATTATTTCTATAACTATTTCGAGCTCCTTGGGGAGCCCGCGAACGACAACGCTGAGGTTACGGTCTTCCGCGAGGGAGTTGAAAGGAGGAGGGAGTGTGAAAACTCAGTTTCTGAGCTTTGAGATGCGCGGTTAAAGCGCCGAAGTCATCAGTCGTCGAGTCGTGGATGCGTATGTCCTGACCACCGTTGAGGACTTGGGGCGGTGGCTTTTCCTTGCGCCGAGTGGTCTTTGTAGTAGTCTTAGTAAGTATATTTTTTTTGTTAAAATAAGATAAAGAACACTTCAGAAAAAAGAATATCATAGACATTATAGATCGTATATTTATTATAAAATAACATTTAATACAATATTAAAAAACTGTAATAATAAAAACATAAATTATAAAATCAAACTAATTCATAATTGCTCTGTACTTCAACTGGTCCTGGAACATATTTAGAAACACCTTATATTTCTTATCATGGAACAACTTTGTATTTAAATTTGGACGCACCACATCGGCAGTACCACCCATATGTACGATTGCATCTTGAACATTATTGAAATACTGCGAAGCGCATGCTCCTAAGATTGCAGAACCGAGAAGAACTGATTCGGTCTCATGAGGCTTCAGTATTGGCAAACCCACGGTATCAGCTTGTGTTTGTACAAAAAGTGGATCTTTAGATATACCTCCACAGATGAGCAGTGATTTAAATGGTTTATATCCGGCTAATATGAGCGCATCCATTATATGTCGCGTACCGTACTGAAATAACATATCAGTTTAAAAAAAACTTAAGCAACACGCATTGATCATGAGCTGTGATGATCCTAGTGGGGACACTGGGTCATAGTCACTAAATTAATGTATTGTCATCGGATCTTGTAAAATTTTAGATTATTCCGACGTCTGGAAGTGGGTGAAAACAAAATTACAAAGTCCCATTACATTCATACATATATACTACAGATCAAGCTAATATAAAGCGTGAAAAATATAAAATTAATTTTATTTAATCCTCGTTATCCTGATCAATACACTAGGATAAAGTTATTAAATTATTGTATTGTCATCGGTCTTTGATATTTAGCAAACAAGTCAATCGGTAGTCTACAAGTTGGTGTAAATTACAGTAAAAGATTCCGTTACATACATAGATAGATAGAAGCTAATAAAAGCGTATTAAGTTTTATTCAGTCGATAGATAAGATTACAGTACTTATTAAGATTAGCAATCTAAATTATCTAAATAATGCAAAAAAAGTTTAAGATAAACAAATTTAAAAAAGAGTATGCACTACATAGAGTTGTTTATAAATATTTTATTTGAATTTGGAATTACATGAACCAATAGGACCAAAAACAATAAAACATAATTTCTTTATTGCATCTTGCTTTTCCTTTTAGAATGGAATGAAATATTTTTTTAAAGATTACAAGAAATACTTATTTTAACACTGGTTCCGGAAAAACCCTTGTTGTGTGAAAATCCAACAAGAAACCCAGCAGATTTTTTTTTAATAATAATTGAAAATGTACGAGTATGTTGTACAATTGAATATGGAACATTTAGAAACAACATGGTAGCAAACACCTAATTTCCAGGGGGGTTATTATCAATTATGTATTATAATTTACCCTTTTTATACAGCTTTTGTTTAATAAAAATGATTTTTTTTTAATTGACATATTTTATGGCACTTTGTTGTAAAAGCATAAACGTCCCATGAATGAATTAAGGATTCTATGGGCGTCGAAAAACTGTTACTAGTTAATGCCTGTTCCTATTATTAACAGAATGTTAGTACTGTAAAATATTTTAGTCTAGACTAAGAAATCTAAGGTGCGGCGCCAGATACACCAGGGTTTCACAACACGGAGACCCAGTTTTTAACCATATATCTAAGGCACGAAAATCATCCTTCTTAGTAGAACTATAAAATATAAAAATATTTGGAAAAAAAAGCCTCACAAAATAAATAAATTACTTACCGCTAAACCCTGTAATGTTGCTAAATAGCGTAAAGCCAGGTTTTCTTCACTATCATTGATCGTAAGTCCGCAAATCATCCCTTTTAAAGAAGGATCTGCTAATGGCGACCTGTTTCCATGAAAATCGGGCCAAATGTGAAAATCTTTGGTCAGAAAGCACACATCGTTGAGTTTTTGTTGTTTCGCCAATTTTGCTAATAATTCCCGTAAATAGTTACGCACTCTGAAATACGAAATGAGTTGAAAAGATGAAAATTTATAACCCGTTTTATTTTATAATATTTACAATTAACATTTTTCTCGTAAAAAGTACATAAAGTGAATATTGAATTATATTTTTTTTTAAGATGTCAACTCCAAAAATTAAATTACTGTTGTTTCAGTAGAAATCTAACAAAGGTGAACGGCAGATTTTGTACCTCATACTTTTTTTGTTGCTCTGTTATAGAATTTGCACTACATATTAAGGCAACTAAGCATTTTATTTTCATATTAGTGTACTATTTTTAGAACTTCGGATTAATTAATAATATGAATAAAAAGATTTTAATAAATAAACGTAAAATAATCGTAAACTAAACGCAGTTGTTTTTAGAAGTTGCCACATGTAAAATAGCACAAGTATCGAAATGAAAATTATTTAGAAATAGAAATAAAACTGATGGTAAGTGGTTGTTGTGACCCATTGACATCTAAATCTATCCTCAATAAAGATAGTAAATCAAAATGCAGATGCGTTGTCACCCGTAAGGACTACCACCTAAAATTATTATCATACCTCATCATTACAGCCTTTCACAAGTCCACTGCTGAAAATAGGCCTCCCCCAAGGAATGCCACAAAGCACGGTCCTGAGCAACCTGCATCCATCGACTTCCTGCATGTCTCATCAGGTCGTTACTTCATGTAGTGGGGGGTCGCCCTACACTTCGCCTACCGGTACGAGGCTGCCACTCGAGAAGCTTCCCCATCGGTTGTCGGTTCTTCGAGCTATATGGCCAGCCCACTGCCACTTCAGCTAACTAATCCGTTGGACTATGTCGGTTACTCTGGTTCTACTGCGGATATCCTCATTTCTAAGTTTATCACGCAGAGACACCCGGAGCATAACCCTCTCCATAGCTCGCTGAGCGAGCTTGAGCTTCCTCATACGGCCAGCAGTGAACGACCACGTCTCAGATCCATAAGTCATTACTGGCAACACGCACTGGTTGTACAATTTCGTTTTCAGGTTTTTGAGGTATGTCTAACGAGAAGATGTGTCGTAGTTTCACGAACGCTGCCCAGCAGAGTTGAATACGTCGATTGACCTCTCGGTTGAAGTTACACTTACCTAGTTGGACTATTTGTCCCAGGTAAGCATACTCGTCAACAACTTCGAGCTTAGTGCTCCCAATAACTACCGGCATAGGTGTGACAAGGACGTTAAACATGATTTTTGTTTTGTCCATGTTCATCTTAAAACCTATCTGTTGGGAGACACTATTGAGGTCATTGAGCATAGTGCATAGGTCCTCCAGCGATTCTGCCATAAGGACTATATCGTCGGCAAATCGAAGGTGAGTGATGTACTCGCCATTGATGTTAATACCGCATCCTTTCCAGTCCAGTAGCTTGAAAACGTCTTCCAATGCAGCGGTGAAGAGTTTCGGGGATATAACGTCACCCTATCTTACACCTCTCTGCAGTTGGATAGGTTTCGTACTCTGATTCTGTACTCGGATAGCCATCGTAGCTCTACTGTACAAACACTTCAGCACTTCGATATACCGACAGTCAACTTGGCACCGCTGAAGGGACTGCAGCATAGTCCACATACGCAAGGCAAAGTGGCAGATTGTACTCCTCTGTCTTCTGTACAATCCGCCGCAGGGTATGCATGTGGTCTATGGTACTAAAGCCTTTTCGAAAACCGGCTTGTTCAGGAGGCTGGAAGTCGTCAAGTCTGCGTGGGAGACGATTCGTAATGACTCTCGAAAACAGCACGTAGACGCGGCTCAGAAGGGAAATCGGTCTGTAGTTCTTCAAGAGAGCGTTGTCGCCTTTCTTGAAGAACAAGACAACCGCACTTCTGCTTCACGCCTCCGGAGTAGTGCCACCATGGAGAACGGAATTAAAGAGCTTCTGAAGGACTTCAAGTACCGGTTTTCCACCCGCTTTTAAAAGCTCCGCTGTAATTCCATCCTCGCCCGGGACTTGCCGTTTTTAAGGTACTGGAGAGCCATTCTAATCTCGCTCGTACTGACGTCCGGGACCGGGATATCTTCGGAATAGTGTCGGATAAGACTCGCTCTTGGATCGTTACTCACACTTGCGTGTGGTTCCAACGATGACGTGTAAAGCTGCCCGTAGAACCTCTCAATCTCACTCAAAATCTCAGATGTCCCGGAAACGATGCTGCCACACTCGGTCCAGCCTTGTCAGTTGGCTCTTCCTTGCAGACAGATCTCTGGCAAAGACTTTGGAGCCTTGGTTCCGCTCGATCGCTTCTTCAATACAAGCTGTATTGAAGTTGCGTAAGTCCCGCCGCATGCATTTGGAGATCTGTCTGTTAAGTTGCCTGTATGCTGTCAAATCTGTTGAAGAGTGTAGCTTCATCTCTTGTCTAAAAGCTATGAGATTAAGTGTGATCGGAGTTTTTGTGTTTTTCTGCAGCGGGTCTTGCAGAACTTAGCTCCAACCGCATGGACAGTTTCCACGAGCTTGTCATACATATCGTCCACTTCATTGCAGTCTTCTAGGCACTGAAAACGGTTTTGTAACTCGAGCTGAAAGGTTTCGGAACTTTGGAGCAGAACACGAGGGGGACGGAGCGTTGACTTCATTAGACGAGACCTCTCCAACTTAACGTTTAGGTTCAGTGTGCCTCTAACCATTCGGTGATCGCTACCAGTTTTCACCCTCGCGATCACGGAGACATCATTGAACAGTTGTCGTCTGGTCGTGATCATGAAGTCAATCTCATTTTTTGTTGAACCGTCGGGTGCTCGACCAGGTCCACTACCTGAGAGGCCGCTTCTGGAAGAAAGAGTTCATCATAAAGAGTCCCTCTTTCTCCATAAAGTCGGCCAGCTGCTGGCCTCTTGGGTTCCGTTGTCCTATTTCAAATTTCCCTACTTTCAGCTCACCGTTCTCTCTTGTGCCTAGTTTTGCATTGAAGTCTCCCATTAACACCGTATAGTGGGTTTTGGAGGAATGTATGGCTATAGAGATATCCTCATACATTTCCTCCACCTCCTGATCGGGGTGTGCCGAGGTTGATGCGTAAACCTGTATGACCTTGAGCGAATAGCGTTTGGTGATTCTGACTATAAACTACGCAACCCTCGTCGACACACACTCAATCTTTACAACGTTGTTAACGTGAGACTTGTGGACGATAAATCCGACACCTCCTTGTCTCGTCAGTCCTCAGGGTGCGTGCGTTGTATGATGCCAGGTCGATTTGTTGTAGGTGGCAACCAAACCTCCACCGGAGATTGTTAGCACCCCCTGCCCCGCCGTTACCATGGCCGCCACCGTAAACAGGAATAGCGGGGCCGCCGGGGACTGGGGGGCCGTCTCTTTGTTGCTCTTATCATTGGAGGGTATTTGCCATAGTTGCCACGCTTGGCCTAAGATAGCATAATATTTGCATAAAGTTGACGATTTAATGATAGGAATGATTTTCGTCATCAATATTTTTTTGTTTATGAACATTGTAATTATTTATTGACAGGTAAAGAAAATCTGTCTTCCAATTCATTTCAGTTCTTTGCTTTTGTTTTGGATTGTGGTTTGTGACTACAATTACAAAAACAAAGTATTGTTTCATTTACCTACACTCAAAACCCCATCATAACTTCATCATTATCAAACAGCTGCAGCCCACTGCTGGATGATACCTATCTCTTAATGCACCCCGCTGAGTAGTGAGTAGGTACGATCCTCATCTCAATCTACCTACTTAATGGTAAGTAAAACACTACAAAGACAGCGACAAGCAATCTAGAACATTAACTTTATCACCAAAACAATGTTTATGTGCCTATAAGTAACAATCTACATCGGTACACTAATACATAACCTTAAAAATTTAACTGGATCTAACTTTTACATCCCAAGTTTTAAAAATCTAAGAATTTAAAAAGAGCTTGCCTACTAACTACCAATTAAAACCAAAAATATCCCCAAACACGAAATTTTTTAGCTGTACGAAATTCCCATAAAAGCCTGCCGTTCACCTTTCCCTATATTTTTTTTAATAATAATCTTCAAAGCATGCGTTAAAAGCTATTTTTCAACCTACTTCAAAAAGGAGGAAGTACTCAATTCGACTGTACGTTTTTTTATGTGTGTTACCTCATAACTTTTTTCACGGTGAACCGATTTCGATGTTTTTTTTTTATTAGAAAAGCTTCTCATGTGGTGTCATGTAAATTTGATCAAGGTCTGACTAGTAGGTTTTGAGTTATCCTTAATAATTTATATTGAAGTCGGTTGTAAAAATTGTTTGTTGACCACGAATTGGTTGTTGTGCGATAAAGATATCGCGTAAAAAACATTAAAAAAAAAACATACTGTCGAAATGTGAACCTCCTCCTTTTTTGAAGTCGGCTAAAAACGGTTTGTTTGTAACCTGTTTAAGATTGAATACGTATCGCTCAGAGCACAATCCTTAACTTGTTATTGCCCGACCTGAACTTTATCAGTCTCCAGGCTAGGAGGGAGGATACTACTGCCTAGTAGCGCGTCCAGCCGTGAATAGCGTGACAATAATGATACGGCAGACTGCCAATGCGATCCAAAAAAGAATAGAGCGTCGTAAAGGTCGCGGCTGGCTTTGAGAGCCTCATAACAGCCGCGATTCCGCTTGCTTAGGTATGCGTGGAAGTCACGGCCGATTTTCGAGATCGTAATGCGCGTTTATATAATCGCCTCTTCCAATGTGCTCCTCATTTGCTCTAGTTAATGGGCTACTGTTCCTACATCGTCTGAATCAACTACAAGTGGGAAATCCATTGCAGCAACTACGTGTGAAGGTTGCTCTGCAACTTGTGGATCTGCATCTCCAGCCGTAGTATTTTCATCCGACGAGGGAACTATCCCACGTCGTAGCCGTTCGAATTCGGTGTCACCAAATATGTTTGATCGCTTGATGTATTGTTTTGATCGGTGACGGCAATAGATGGCTCCAACTCAACAAAAATGCGATGTATTCAAGGTAGATACGCTAGACCGCCAACTTCTCCCCCTTTCGCCCTAAAGTTCGCCTGCAATGCGTTTTTATTTATTTGAGTTGTCCATCGCTTGCGGCGTAATCTGCCAGTAACTGGTGTCGATTGCTGGGTCCGTGTATACCCTGCCGACATCACGCCAGCTGGCGAGGATGATGTATGCGAGAGGCTAGTGTTCGTGCAGCAACTCGGTCTCGTAAGCAGCGAGTAATCTAGATGCCATGACGACCCCCAGACAGTAACCATATGAGCGTTCCTTTATTAACCATAATTGTTATCATTTTTAATTATAATTACTATTATTAAATGGTAACTCTGACGAACGGTGAATACGTTTATAAAATAAATCTGATTCTCATGAAGCTAATCAGAGAATATTCACACATTAAGACATTTCTAGGTAATAAATATTCGTCAACAATTATGGCCGATACTTCGATTAATTAAATATTATTTTTTGAATAAAAATGGTGGGCCTAAGAAAGTAATGAAATAATCATATAAATTACCACTTTGACATAAACACATATTTTGTAATAAGCTAATCTTTAGAAAACCTAAAGATTTAGGAAACGTTTTTGTAATACTTGTAATGTGCTTAAGAAAAACAAACTACCCGCAATTAGACATTTGACTGATTCAACTGGACCCTTAATAAGCGATGTACCTAATAAGTAATTAGTTGACTACTAAGACTATAACTAACTTTTTTGTTAGTTATTAATCACAGTTACTAAATATAAATTTTGTTTGACCGTCTCTTTGATCTACTGGTTGTAAACACGACTGATGGTGTTGGGTGATGGTCTTAAGGTGCTGTTACGGACGGCGAGGGGAGCCGCCGCCCCTTCATACCCCGTTACGCCCAGCTCACACCGCACACCACGGACATCACGTGAGGTCGCCGACCAATCAGCGTGCAGCACACCTCGTAAGAACACGCTCGTGCCGAGACACCCGCCGCGGGAATATACGAAGGGCCTTTTGGGCTCAGATTCATTCGACAGCGACACTCAAGAAAGAAGAATCAAGAAAATCAAGATAGTCAAGACTCTCTAGAAGATCCCCTCTTGTGCATATAGTATATAGTAAACTGCCGCTTGTAAATAGTTAAATATAGTAATTTAAAGTGTACCACCTTTCCTTTTAAATAAACGTCCCTAGTAGTATTTCACCCATACATAAACAGTAAATAAAGTAAAGCCACATAGGTGCCTTGTTCCATTTATTATTACCATTTTTTCTCTAAATGCTTACCACTCCTGTAAGCTGTGCACCTTGCTATGTAGACTTTTACAGACTAATGATGGGGAGCAGCATTAGCAGTGTGTGTTTGGGAATTGCTCTCACCAACATGCTTGCCTAGCCTTGCATTTGAAGGCATATAAAAGCCTTATTCAGCCTTATAAAATCCACAGCTGGAAAGCAATGGATTTCATTAAGCTGATAAAATCACTACTTACAGTAATATTCTATTTAAATGTCAAATAACTCACTCTCCAGTGCTATATTTCTCCAACAATCTAATTCCAGCTGGATGACTAGAGATAACATAGTCTAATAACATGCCAGATGCACTTTGTCCTGCTTCATTTAACCACATATTGGGTACCATTGCACTGAAATAAGGACCCCAAATACCCTGAACTAAAACTGGGTTCCTATTAACAGCCATATGACATGTTGATGTACCACATATCAAGCTAAGTCTTGTTGACATGTTGCTGTCAATACTTTCACCACTGGTACCAATCATTCCAAGACCACCAGCATGTGCGTCTATAATGGATGTGGCTACTGGAGTGCCAGGAACAAGACCAAGGGATTTAGCAAGATCAGGCTTCAATCCGCCACATTTTTCCCCTGGCATTAAAACTTCGTTACCAATTTTCTTGAAGCCATACTCCACTAACTCTCCTAAGCCTATACTACGTAGAAAATTTTCATTCCATCCTTTTTTTCCATCTATAGAACATTCATAATTCCATTTGCAAACAAGGGAACATAGTGACCGACTTTGCGATCCAGTTGCTTTCCATGTGAGAAAGTCTGGCAAATCGAAAAAATATCCAAAATCTGCCCATTTGTGTGAAAGATTTTTTTTCAGCCAGAGAAGTTTTGGCATTTCCATTTCCAGGCTCACCTTTCCCCCGACATATTTAAGAATTTCATGGCCCTTACTGTTTATAAATTCTGCTTCAGCTTGGGCTC